CCTAGTGCTCCTAATAGTATTTGCAAGAACCACCAGGCCTGAAGAAAAACAACCAATCAGAGCAGAGGTATCTTTCTCTGCTCTGAAAGATGCTTTGGGTTGTAAGCTTGAAAATAGTTGATTGTTGAATCTCATTCTCAGAGTCCCAAAGCATCTGTATTTGCCACCCTGGGAATGAGACTCAACAATCAACTATCTTTCTCAATTCTAAATGGTTGTTTTTGTGATTGTTTCACAGATTATCTGTCTCATGTACTACTGTCAGGATATAGAGAAAGTTTTAGCAAATGTGACAAAAAGTTATGTTTATAAAAATGACCTACTGCACAGTGGTATTTACTTATACTGGTATACTTATAGATTCAAGTCTTTATGGCAATTATTTGCTTCCATAAACCTCTCCCATAAGTCGGCTTACCCTTTAATTGACCAGTTGCCATGTGTCCCAGCAGATTCTTGGCTCCATCATGCTAATACCTTTGCAGCTTACACATGTACATTGTATACACCATATTGGGTGGTTCTTTAATGTGAGAAAGTGAGTGTAAATAACGTTTCCCATTAAACTCAATCAGTATGTGGCTTTATTGGCTGAAGGAACTTTATTTTTTAGATTTAGGATTTATTTTTGTTTGTTTTATTGTTTGCAGCAGCATATTTGAGCTTTTTCAAAATGTAATATGTGTATGTAGCAGTGCTGATGTTTAATGAAAATAAATAGCCCAAAAAAACTTACAGATATTAAAACCTTTAACTGCATTAAAGGATTTTTTGGGCCACTTGGGGAAGGCATAACAAGCTGTAGAAACAAAATGACATGATCGTCCGACAAAGTCCCCATCATTTGCTGCTAAATGCTAACTTTTTCTGTCTGCTGTTTGGTGTTGGATACGTAGCATATAGCGAGTTTGTCAGAGGTGTCTCTTCCGTCTGCAACTGTATTGTAATTACAATGTGCCAAAATATATGCAGAGTTGGTGATAATTCTTTGTGGGTTCATCACTTGCAGCCTATTTTCCTATTACACATAATCATTTCATCCATTGTTAAAAATGATTAGATTGCAGCTTTAAAGTTCACATTAGAATGACAGTAACTACTGTTTTTCTTACAAAATTGTATCATCATACTGAAGTGATGAAAGATCCCTAAAGTGAATGTCTCTTTGATGACAAGCTCTTCATCTACAAACAACTTTTGCTTCCATCCCCCTTCCATACTACTACCCCCTTGTGCCTAACCATTGTCTTTTGGATTCACGTGCTTTAGTTAGACTGCAAGTCAAGCTAAATAGCACATAAGGTAAAGGCAAAAAGATAAACACTTGTCTGGACAGAGTATAAGCACGAATGTTACGTTTTTTATTTTCTGCTTGGCACTCTTTTAGTTTTTGCTATATAATGGTGGAGCAAGTAATTTTCAAAACACATTCAAAAACATGTTTTATTTGTAACCTTTTGGCAATTAACTTGATGTAATTTTAAAAGATGTATTTCTCTATGTTGATATATATGTCTGGATGTGTGTATATGTGTGTGGAGATGTGCATGCATTGCTTACTGGGAGTTAGCTATCAGAAGGAAGGGATACTAACATACAAATGCAATTCAGGTACAGCCAGGTACATTTTTTTGTTTGGGAAGTCTCTGATGGGTACTAGAGAGACAACCCAGATCCTGGAAGGGGACATGGAGACCCCCCCATCCCAGCTTAGCCATATGATTGATATGTAATGTGGTCCACCCCAAGTTGTAATGACATCTACACCCTAGGAAACAACAGGAATGAGAATATTTTATTATTTATGTTAGGACAAAGCACAGTGGATTGTCTGACAGTAGCATCATAAAGCTCCCTTTGACATGCTTGTGTGTGTGTGTGAGAGTGTATGTGTGTGTGCATGTGTGTGTGTTTATCTCATTATTTAGCCCTGGAGAGCTGCTGATTTCTTGTGTTTTAAATGTGCTGTAATCACAGATATTCAAATGTATGGATTTGTGGCTCTGTCTGTTTTATTGCAGCAAGATGATGTTTTATTGTTTTAAGAATTATGCAACGAGTTCTGGTCTGTGGTTTCATATTATGCATGTGCAGTACAGTGGATTTCTTTGAGTGTTTTAGGAAAAGTCAATAAAAAACATTGCTGAACCAGACTTTGATTATTTTCAACCCTTTCAAACCTCTTCATACTGTATACTGTTGGTCCATCAGATTCACTGGTGGGTACAGTCCTTAAAATCTTTACTCAAGTAAAATTACAAGTACTCCCATTAATAATGATTCAAGTAAAATTAAAAAAGTACCTGGTTAAGGAATTAGTCAAAGTACAAGTTACTTGCCATAATGTTTTTTAGAGTGTGATTATTACAGCAATTATGAAAGTAACTTTAACGTTAAAGTTGGTATTATGTTAGCTTAACTAACACATCAATTTAAAAGCCTGACAGACCAGTAGCTACAATGTAAATTAATGTCATTCTCAAAAATTAAAGGACCAGTGTGTAGGATTCAGTGGCATCTAGCGTTATAGTCCTCACCTTCCCCTTTCAAGTGCAAACATTGAAA